ACAATAATGTGGTTGCTAGAAAAAAGGTACCTTTTGCTGCGTTTAAAATTTTTGTGGAAACAGAGGGAGAGATTGATGGATTTTTGGCAGACTTTGAGAGGCAGTGTGCGCTACATCAGGTACCTGCAGATGAATGGGTCACCATCCTCTCTGGGAAATTATCTGGCCAGGCTAGTGAAGCTTTTCGGGCCATCCCAGAGGAGGAGATCACCAGCTATCGGGCTGTGAAAGAGGCGCTCCTAGCCAGGTATGCAGTAACCCCAGAGGCGTACAGGCGGAGGTTTAGAGAAACCAACAAGCTGGTTGGGGACTCTTATGTGGAATAGGCCTGCAGAGTCCATCGTACCGCAGCCCACTGGATGGCTGGATGCCAAGCGGTAACTGGGGAGGAGGTATTACAAGTGTTCCTGCTGGAGCACTGCTTTGATAGACTACCTGCTGGGGTCCGGGAATGGGTCAGAGACAGAAAACCCTCTACCCTACCCGAGGCTGCCCGTCTGGCAGACGAATACACAGATGCCCGCAAGTTGGATGGTACAGCTGCTAAAGCCCCTGCCAGACTGGAATATCGACCAGCAGTAACACCCGCTCCTGCAGTCTACCAACCCCCAGTACACCGTACCCCAGCCGCACCACCAGCTAACAATTATATGCAACCAGCCCGCTTTAATGCCCGGGAGTACTCCCAACCCATCCGGTGCTATGGATGCAAGCAGTTGGGGCACAAACGTCCTGAGTGCCCCCTGAACAGTGCCAACCAGGCTCAGTCCTGGAGGAGACCAGTTACCGGAAACCAGCGCCCACCTCAGCCTGCTGCTCACTGCCTAGAGCAGGAGGAATTTTGGGGCATTCTGCACGAGGCAGACCCAGTGCAAGCGGCTCACCAGGATAATCGCCAGCAACATCGGCAAACTGTGAAGCTAAATGACAGAGTGGTGAATGGGCTGAGAGACACAGGAGCCACGATGACACTGCTCCAAAAGAACTTGGTCTCAGAGCATCAACACACTGGAGACACTGTGGCAGTAAGGGTAGCAGGGGGTGCCGTGTTTCGCTTACCTGTTGCCCGAGTACATTTGGATTGGGGAGTGGGCGCTAGGCATGTGGATGTGGGGGTGATGAAGGACTTGCCCGCAGATGTTCTTTTGGGAAGCGATTTGGCCCCTTTGGTTTCAGCCTATGCTCCGATGGGCCCTGCAGACGTGAACCCAGTGACCACCCGTGCCCAGACCCGTGCTGCCGGAACCAGCCCGCTTGCTGACGAGACCCAGGTAAGATCTCCTTCCCCGACTGATACCCCAGATCAGGTCCCCTTAAGCTGGGATTCCCCAGAGGAGTTTGGGAGGGAAACCCGGGCGGATTCGACCCTCCAAAGATACAAGGACAGGGCAGAGGCTGGGGAGGAAGGAATAGATGGGGAACGGTATGAGTGGGTGGGGGACAGGTTATATAGGATCCCTAAACCTTCCCAGAAGAGTGTTGCCTCTCCGCCGAATCGCCAGTTAGTGGTACCTGCAAAGTACCGGCAGTTAGGAGGACCGACCAAGCATCTTCTTCCATCTGCCTGTTACAGAAATTACTGCCGTGTACACGACCACTGATAGGAGACGCGGAAGGTATTAAGCTGATAAAAATAGTACTAAACACACCACTCCTATCTGGTGTCACATTAGCTTGACCGCGCAGTGCCCCAAATTTGCAGTAAGAGGACCGACCAAGCCTCTTCTTCCATCTCCCTGTTACAAAATCAATGCCGTGTACACGTCCACTGATAGGAGACGCGGAAGGTATTAAACTGATAAAAATAGTACTAAACACACCACTACTATCTGGTGTCACATTGGCTTGACCGCGCAGTGCCCCAAATTTAATGTGATCTGTGAGTAAGGTAAACGGTTGTCCATACAAGTAGGTTGCAGCTTTTTGAGGGCCCACACCACCTCCATGCACTCCATTTCAATGGCAGTGAATATACTTCGCTGTGCAAAAGTTTACGGCTTAGATAAAAATCAATGCCGTGTACACGTCCACTGATAGGAGACGCAGAAGGTATTAAACTGATCAGAACAATACTAAACACACCACTCCTTTTTTTTTTGGTGAGGCTTTACAGGACAGAGTGCTTCTCCACGGGACATGTTAACTCACGGGCAGCTGGCTCATCAAGGAACCAGAGCAGCTTTCCATGTACAGGTAAGACACGTGCAGCCGGTAAGGGTTCAGGCTCTCCTTCCTGGAGGATACGCTGCAAGCCTGTTGAACGAGTTGACCTTGCTCGGGTCCCAGGTGTACGGTTCCTAAAATGGCTGCCATATACACGTCCACTGATAGGAGACGCGGAAGGTATTAAACTGATCAGAACAATACTAAACACACCAGAAATAAGGTTTCTCTCCTGTATGGCTCCTCAAATGATGCTTAAGATTAGAAGTGGCTGAAAAGCATTTCTCACACTCCGAACAAAAATATATTTTTTTAACATTCTCTCCACTTTGAACGAAATGACGTTTGGGAAGAGATTAACATAATTAAACACAGGCAGTAAAAATGCAGTTTTTAGCCATACCCTGTAACTTTAAAACTACACATCCCATCTTCATAATTACATATTTGGAATCAGCACACTTAAAACATAAACATAACCAAAAATCAGCCAAATCCATCCAGGGGTTAAAAAGTTAGCTGGAAGTCCCTTTATGACTGACCGCAAGCACATTTTCCTGCCCAAAACAGTTCCATAGATTTGGGCTGTGAGGTCGGTCTATTTCAGGCTGAAAAAACGACTAAGTCCCATCGCCGAATGGGACAGTCTCTGCAGCTGAAATAAGGCTGAAAAAAACGGCTGAAAAAAAGACTAAGTCCCATCGCCGAATGGGACTTAGTCTCGACAGCTGTAAAACCAGTAGGGGAGAAGGTAGAGCTCAGCGGTGTTCGCGGACAGGGCCGCCATCAGGGGGTGACAACCGTGACTGTTGTCACGGGCCCGGCGGCCCTGGGGGGCCCGGACTGCTCTGGCAGTCCTGGGCCCCACTTTGTTTCTCTACACATATAGATAGCGAATCTCGCTATCTATGTGTGCAGCCGCGGGCCCCCGGCTCCCTGTTACCGCAGAGGGGGGCCCAGGCAGCACACAGCTTCTCCTCCTCTCTTCTTTCTTACAATAACTCTCGCGAGACCCGGTTACCATGGCAACGCTCCGCGGGTCTCGCGAGAGTTATTAGAAGAGGCGAAGCTGTGTGCTGCCTGGGCCCCTCTGCGGACAGTAACAGGGAGGTGGGGGGCCCCCCACCGGACCACCACAGATGGAATCTCCCCCCTCCCTGGATACAGGTAAGCAGGGAGGGGGGAGAAACATTTAATTCAATTAATTAAAAATTAATGTTAAAATGCCCCTTCCTCCCCCTCCCCCCCCCAGATCACACATTTACACACTGCATACACTAACAACACACACACTGCATACACTAACACAACACACACACTGCATACACTAACACAACACACATTGCATACACTAACACAACACACACACACACGCTGCATCCACTAACACAACACACACATTGCATTCGCTACACATTAACACACTCTGCATACACTAACACAACACACACACACACACACTGCATACACTAACACAACACACACACTGCATACATAACACAACACACACAACACACACTGCATACACTAACACAACACACACAATACATACACTAACACAACACACACACACTGCATACACTAACACAACACACACTGCATACACTAACACAACACACACTGCATACACTAACACAACACACACACACCATACACTAACACAACACACACTGAATACACTAACACAACACACACACACTGCATACACTAACACAACACACACTGCATACACTAACACAACACACACAATACATACACTAACACAACACACACACACTGCATACACTAACACAACACACACTACATACACTAACACAACACACACACACACTGCATACACTAACACAACACACACACACACACACTGCATACACTAACACAACACACACACTGCATACACTAACTTACAACACACACACACACTGCATACACTAACACAACACTAACACACACACTGCATACACTAACACACACACTGCATACACTAACACAACACACACTGCATAACTAACACAACACACACACACACACACTGCATACACTAACACACACACTGCATACACTAACACAACACACACTGCATACACTAACACAGCACACACAATACATACACTAGCACAACACACACACACTGCATACACTAACACAACACACACTACATACACTAACACAACACACTGCATACACTAACACAACACACATTGCATACACTAACACAACACACACACACACGCTGCATCCACTAACACAACACACACATTGCATTCGCTACACATTAACACACTCTGCATTCACTACACTAACACACACTCTGCATCCGCTACACACTAACACACACTCTGCATCCACTATACTGACACACACTCTGCATCCACTATACTGACACACACTCTACATTCGCTACACATTAACACACTCTGCATTCACTACACTAACACACACTCTGCATCCGCTACACACTAACACACACTCTGCATTCACTACACTAACACACACTCTGCATCCGCTACACACTAACCCACTCTCTGCATTCACTACACATTAACACACTCTGCATTCACTACACTAACACACACACTCTGCATCCGCTACACACTAACACAATCTCTGCATTCACTACACATTAACACACTCTCTGCATTCACTACACTAACACACACTCTGCATCCACTACACACTAACACACTCTCTGCATTCACTACACATTAACACACTCTGCATTCACTACACTAACACACACTCTGCATTCACTACACATTAACACACACTCTGCATTTACAACAAATTTACACACACTCTGCATTCACTGCATTAACACACACACTACATTCATTACACTGACATACTCTGCATTCACTATACTGACACACACTCTGCATCCGCTACACACTAACCCACTCTCTGCATTCACTACACACTAACCCACTCTCTGCATTCACTACACTAACACACACACTCTGCATCCGCTACACACTAACACACTCTGCATCCGCTACACACTAACACTCTCTGCATTCACTACACTAACACACACTCTGCATCCACTACACACTAACACACTCTCTGCATTCACTAGACATTAACACACTCTGCATTCACTACACTAACACACACTCTGCATCCGCTACACACTAACACAATCTCTGCATTCACTACACTAACACACACTCTGCATCCGCTACACACTAACACACACTCTGCATCCACTACACTAACACACACTCTGCATCCGCTACACACTAACCCACTCTCTGCATTCACTACACATTAACACACTCTGCATTCACTCCACTAACACACACACTCTGCATCCGCTACACACTAACACAATCTCTGCATTCACTACACTAACACACACTCTGCATCCGCTACACACTAACACACTCTCTGCATTCACTACACTAACACACACTCTGCATCCACTACACACTAACACACTCTCTGCATTCACTACACTAACACACTCT